ATATATATCAATTATGTTGCGTCCATGCAAGCACCCTTCCTTAAGATGCAGAAGAGGGTTGAGTACTTGGCCAATGCGGCCGAATTGAATGATGCGGAGGAATATGTCCTGCCGCGGCTGCACGACTTGTTGGTTGAGGTAGACATGCCTATAGGCGCTGCTACCATCTCGCTAGCGAAAGAGGTGGACCCGAAAGCATATCTGGGCTTCGACCAGTCTTAGCTTCGGAAGTTGCACAAGAAGTGTGGACTCCCGGAGAAGGAGTTGGATGAGATGATTAGGGCCATACAGTCGGTAGCATACAACGCAGCGGCACCCACCTTTATGGTGTATGATGACATTCGCTTCAGGAACGGAGTAGAGTTTCACCTGAAGGATGGGGAAAAACCGTCCTGCAACGTGTACCCGGACAATGATCCGACATTCACTTCAGTGATGGACACTAAGGTTAGTGACTGGGATCAAAGGGGTGTGACAAGGGAAATCTCGGAGGCTGAGGCTAAGGGCTATTGTGCCATGTCCCACATAGTCTATAAGAAACCGGGCAGGGTTCCTTTGTCAGTTCGTCAGTTCACGATAGGCGCTGCTGTATCAACTACAAAAATTTGAACGGCGCGCTTAAACGTGAAGAGTACCCAGTTCCGACCGAACAAGATTTTCTTTCGGCAGTACGGGGTGAGAAATACCGCACGATGATTGATCTTGGGCAGGGTTTTTGTCAACAGAAGGGGGCTGAGAGTTCTCAGCATATGCTTACCTTTTGGACGCCATGGGGAAAGCGGACGTTTGTTGGCATGTCGTTCGGTATCAAACCTGCATCGTGGATCATTCAGGCGCAAATGGAGCATGCTTTCCAAAGCGTGGACAGCTTGAAGACCTATATTGACGACATGGGCGTAGGCCACAACAGTGCTAGGGAGCACTGGGCGTGCGTCAAGAAGCTCATTGCGGCGTGTGTAAAGCACAACGCAAATTTGTACCTCAAGAAGTGTTGTTTTGGGTTCTCATATCGGTCGGTTATCGCGTTGGGACGAGTGGCTGATTAGAATGGCTCGTACATCAGTGAGGATCGGAGGGAATCCATCCTGCACATACCGCCGCCCCCGGATAAGATTCTGTTGGCCTCGTGGTATCACACGATTGGCTACTGGAGCCAGTACATTCCTGACTACTCTAGGATCATGGCCCCCTATCTCGAATCTGAGCAAGAAAGAGGTTCCCTTTATATGGGGTCGGACGCAGCAGGCGGCCTATGATCGGATTCGGGAAGAGGTGACCATGAGAGGGGTGTTGTTGGGTCGAGCCAGGATTTGAAGACAAGCTGGAGTTGTATTGCGATGCCTGTGACTCAGTTGGAGTAGGTGGGGGGGGGAGGTTTCCTCGGTGAAAGAGTATGCTGTTTCCTGTGGGATTCTGGTCTTCGAATTTTAATCCAGAGGCCCTCGCAATCGTGTACTGTCTCCATAAGTCGTGGAGGAATGTCAAGCGTTCGAGATACCCGTTAACGGTGTTCACGGACCGTGAACCGCTGATGCACATGTAGGCGCAGGATCCCACTTCGTACGAGTCAACGGTTAGAGGCAGGCGGATGGCAAGATATGCGCAGATGCTGCGTGATTTTGATATCATCCTGAAGCATGTGCCAGGAGGGTTGAATCCTGTGGCAGATGTGCAGTCTCGGTTGGGTTACCACATAGCCCCGATCATGCAAGCGAGGCGTCTTCCGGTAGAAGATAGGGTGCGTTGGGTGGAACCAGTGATAGCTAAGGCAAGCACGGGGTCGTATGCTGTGAACAGGTAGCTGTTTGACAAGAGACTGTGGGCAGAAGTTTGGCCCATTTGATGCTGAAGGTTTCGCGCATCCGACAAATTATCGGATGAAAGCGTACTACCAGCCCTACCTTGGCTGAAGGGGTGTTCGCTCGGTACCGCGTTGGTAATTCAATCCGAAGTGGTCGGATCTCAGTAAATTGGTTACCAGGATTGGCAGGGACAAGGCTACGGTGACAATGGTTTGCCCGTACGCACCTGAAGCACGTTGGTTCAAGGAAATAATTCCTCTACTGTCAGCAGACCCTATGGTTATTTACCCGAAGAAGGAGATATATCTCAAGCATGGGAATGAGCCTATGGAGGCACCAGGGTTCATTACTATGGTGTGCCATATGAGTCCTTACCGCGACCACAAGCTTTGAGGAGACTTCTGGACGGAGTTGGAGGCTAAGCGACCAGTTTGGGAGAAGTTGACTGCGGCAGCGGTGTTACGTGAGGAAGACGTAGTGTCCTGTATATCACAGAGTGGTGTCATAGGGGCGGTGGCGCACCCGAAAGGGAAACTGGTGCGTAGGGGTATGCCAGCGGAGGAAGCTTGGTATAGAAACTAACCCTGCTAGTTCAGCCTTGGCGGGCGGCTAAGAGTATTCTGAGTAAGTTTTGTTCCCTGAGACATACGGAAGCATGGCTGGGGGCATCTGCTAACCCTAGTGAGGAATCGCTGGGTGCGATGGCAGAGACTTGGCTAGGAACAGCTGAGGTGAGCACAAGTGGGAGGTCGCATGGTGCTATGTATACTCGGGAGTATGAGTGCTATAGCAGTCGCCATTGCTTACGCGGCGTGAGCACAAGGTGGTTGTGGATACCCATCCGATCTTGGACGCGATGGACATTGATGAATCACAGAGTGACGCATCAGTATAGGACCAAACGCGAGAGTATGAGGAATTACTCACCACAGAGAATTTAGTCCTGTTGGAGCAGGATCCTGCGGATTGTGTGCCAATGGATGACATGGAAGAGCCACCAGTGAACGAGCTGGGTGATAAACTGTTGCGACAACGGTTGCGTCGCTTGAAGCGTTCTGTGTTTGGTGTGGAAGTGGGGGGTGATGTCTTCGAGCGATCGTTCGATACATGCATGTGCTATTTGCACATGCCAGTGCCAAGAGACTGGATGATCCGGTATGCAGTCTATGGGGTTGGCGCGGCATGAAAGAGATGTGTGATCATGTCCGTAAGAGCTGCACCGCGTGTCAGATGGTTGCCGACGAACCAGGCTTCGCAAAAGGGTTGCTACAGCAGCCAGTGCAGTGCGCCCAGATGTGGCCATGCGCGAGATAAGCATGGACTTTATGGACTTTGACACTGTTAAAGGACAGTCCAAGGTCTTTGGGATT